GGGGGGCCAGTTCCCCAGGCCCCCCTTCCCCCCCCCCCCCCGGGTCTCCCGCCCTCCTTGCTGCTGGCAGTGCCAGTTCCAGAGGTTTCTCCCTCCGCTAGGGCCCCGGTGTTCCTGAGCTCCGCCCCAGAGGTGGGTGCATTTGGCCCGTCCCCGCTTTGTGGGGAGGCAAGGCGGAGGGCCCCGCTGGGCGCCTGCTGCGTGTGTGACTAACCGCTGCTCTCTGTGGGTGGGTTTCCATAGCAACCTGTGCCCTCACGCAGCTCTCTGGGGTGAGAACCTGAGTCATTGGGGGCCCCGCGGCTCGGTTCTCTGGCCCCGCGCCTCTCGGGCCCGGCCCGGCCTGCAGGGAGGCTGCGTTCCTTCCAAGTGCTGTGGCAGGGCTGGGCCCGTCTCCCTCCGCCTCCACGGGGGCAGCGTCGGTCCCATCCTGAAGGGGGTGAGACGGGAGGCTGCAGGGCGAAGCGGGGTGGGTGGGTGGAGGGGGGGCGCATGGCATGAAGGGACTGGGGTGAGCCCCACGGCTGCCAGTCCTCCACTGCTTGGATCTGTGGGTCACTCCCCTCGCCATGGTGAGCCTCAGTTCCCCCCGTCTGTGAAGGTGTGCTGGAGGGGAGGGAAGCTCAGCCTGGGAAGGGCAGGGAAACCCCCCCCCCCCCGAATCCCACTCTCCCAAGGGCATCGGCGGCCGGCTGGAAGTGAGGGGCTGGGAAGTGAAAGGGCTCCTTCTGTGGGCACTGAGTGGGTGTGCCAATGTCAGCGGAGCACCCTGGGCCGGGCCGCCTGCTCCGTGCAGGGAGGGAGGGAGGGGCTTTGCTGTCCGGCCTGCTGCCCCATGGAAGCGGCTGTGGCCTGCTTGGAGCGGCTTTTCTTCCTCCGAGGCCAGCAGGCCCAGTGGTTGGGGCTAGGGGGGCGAGGGTGGCATCAGGCACACTGGGCAGTGCTGAGGGACCTTCAGCGGCCATCTAGTTCACCCTTGGGCCCTCTGGCCACGCCATCCAAACGTTGCCGGGCCCCTGATGAGTCCAGAGAAGGCTTCCCAGCTGTGTGTGACCCCGGCCAGAAAAGCCACGGGCAGTGCTAGGGGCTGCCGTGGCAGTGGTGGCTGTGGGCATTTGCGTTGGCTGTCCAGGGGGGGGGGGAGCGGAGGCGCTGCAGGTGCAAAGCAGGCGGTCGACAGGCAAGGCCCCCCCCCCCTTGGCGGCTTCTGGCACAGGGCACCTTTGTCCAGGTCAGGGGGAGGGTGGCGTGGGGGAGGAGGGGTTGGGCGGCACCTGGGAAGTGAAGCCCCCACACTGGGGCGCTCTGGGCCTGGCTGAAGGTTGCCTGGGGGCAAGGAGGAAGCCCTTGGCACGTGCTCAGAGGTCCGGTTGGTCCCTCACTGTGACTGAGCCCGGTTGTGGCATTCAGGAGAGGCTCTGGGGAGGACCCTCCCCCCCCATGATGCTTCAGCTCCCGGCTGGGGGGGGAGGCAGAGCCGCTGGCATTGGCCGGCCAGGTGGCCCTGTGCCTGAGGGAGGGAGGGAGGGAGGGAGGGGCTCCTCTGGCCGGCCCCTCGAGGACCCGGACCCGAGTGGGAAGGAAGGCCGGGCTGTCCTCACTTTCCCCAATCAATTAATGAATCAATTAGCCAGTTAAAGGCGCCCATGGAGTTCTCCTTAATTAACTGGCTGCCGGCCTGAACGGCAAGGGCAGCCCTCCGCTCGGAGGGACAGAGGGTCTGGTGGTCTGGAAGGGGGAGCTGGATCCGGACCCCCTTCCTCCTGCTTCCGAGGAGGCCTCCCTCCAGGGTGTTCCAGGGGGAGCTCCAGAGGGGCTGCTCAGGTCAGGCTCTGGCTGCTGCCCGCCCTTCCTCCCCCTCCATCCCCCTCAAGTGTAGGCCAGTTGCCATGGCGACCCCGGTGGTCCAGGCCCCCCCCCCAAGAGCAGAGAGGCCGCCTTGCTGGCTGCCGGCAGTCCAGGGGAGGGCCCGCCTGCCTCCGCTTGGCCGTGCTCCCTTCCTCCTCCTCCTCCGGCACCTGGCTCCACGCCCAAAGAGTACACACGGCGGCAGCAGCAGTAGATCCTGGAGCGGGAGGGGGGGCGAGCGGGCGGACGGAGAGCCACGGGGGCCGCAGGGGAGCCTCCTGTGTCTCCCGCAGGCACGGAAGTGGGGGGGGGGAGGGGGCTGCCGGGCAAGCTGGCGCTCCCGGGGAAGACGCTCCTGCTGGGAGCCTCCAGCACCCCTGGCCGCCCCTGGGGGTGTGATGGGGAGATGGACGGCAGCGGAGGAGGAAGGAGGCGGAGGGCGGAGTGGCCGCTCTCCCTGGGCCCGGCCTCCCTGCCCCGGAGGGACTCTGCAGACCAGAGTGTGAGTACTCCCCCTCCCTCCCCACGGCGGGGGGGGGGGCTTCTGTGTCCCGCCCTCCGCTCTCATAGGGGAGCAAACAGCCAGGCCTGGGGAGGAAGGTGGGGAGCCGGTGGCCCTGCCTGGAATAGGGCGGCGGGGAAGGGTGGGGGGGGCTGGGAGAGGGGGCAGGAGGAGCCCCTCTACCCCCCCCCCCCCTTGAGC